TTACAGAGGCTGCTAGTGCATCCCTTACAGTGAAAAATTCTCTCAGGGGCTGAAAGAGAGGCACTACACATTCTGTACAGTTACTCTGCTAATAGGATCCATGTCACCAGCAAAAGACAGCACAGTCTGTCTAGTTTGTAAAGGTTGAGCAATTCACATCACAGCTGGACCAACTGGATTTTAGGCTGCCCTCCAGACTCAATTTCACTGCACAGGATGGTCAGGAAGAGCCGAGTGTGGAAGCAACAAGTGCAGCCACCAATTCTCCTTTATCCCATCATTTTTTTAACATTTCTCCACACTTATGCCTGATTTAGATAGCTACAAGTCTCCAGACCTAAGCAGACACAAACATTCAGACACAGAGGTAACATTAAAGACCTGCCAAATGAAAGACTAGACTGCAGCAGTGTGAAACCTGAAGGCCAGGCCAACGCCTGCTCACTTCTCCCTTCATTTTGTCTCATGAAAGCAGGACAAGACAAGCCCAGACTCCACTCACACCCCAGGGAGAATAGCAGTGGGGACACTGTCTAATAACCTCTCCCATGAATGAATCCTCTCGCCCCATGGTAGAAGCCTTCTTTTTTGGCACAGGGGGATAATCTGCGTCTCCTCGCCGTGCCAGCATGGGTGACTGTAGGTTGGGTTGGTGACCTGTGAGAACATAACTGCTTTTGTCCTCCCACTGTTGCCTTGAAGGATTTTTTTAGCTCACAGATCAATGACCCAGACACACCGGGTAGCATAGCTTTGAAAGAAATTCCCCATGACCGAGCTCCTAACAATACATCCAAATGTCACAAAAAGTCAGTAAACACACTGAAGATTCAAGCGCACATTCTGGACAGCAATACTGGGAACTTCTGGTTTTAGTATCCACTACAAAAAGTCCTAAAACAACAGCACATTTCAAAGATTTTACTATTTTTTTTTACTCTCACTCACAAAATGTCTGATTAATAAAAAAAGTGATAAAACAAGACCCATCCCTTCCACATTGCATTTCTTTCCTAATAATAGCCCACGCTCATGTCAAAATGTGAGAGAGAAGGCTTAGGAGCCTTCTGCCAGAGCTCTCTCACAAAATTCTTCCCTTGCAGCTTCCTTCCGGACTGAAGTTTGCCACCTGGGAACAACCCATGAAGACTGCTTCTGAGCCCTGAGGAACAGAACAGCTCACTGGGGATGTGCAAGGAGCAAATACCTTGGTTTGTGGCCAACTTCTGTGTAGCCTTCTGTCAAACCTAGCAGTGGGAACGCCTTAGAGCGGTAAACTCCTCTGTTCCACCGTACAGCACTTGGCACGGTGGAGCCCCATATGAGAACTAGAGGTCCTGGGCACCAGGGAATACAGGGGCTTAGCCTAAGTTGTGTGTATATCTGAAGAAACAAACGGAACACGGAAGGATGAGGAAGATTTATCTCGGATTTTTCTTCCTTCTAGGACAGGAAGGTTCTGTGTGTTATATCATTTGATGATGTCACTGATAGAAGAGAAAGCTATCTTCAGAATACAGAAATGGATTTTGTGACGAGTTCAAACTAAATGAAACTGATTTCTCCATACGTACAATGACTAATGAAATGCTTTCACTAATGCTCGATGAAAATAAGTATCACCAACCAAACAACAAATCTGTTAAAGTAACAATCTGAGAAAGCAAAGATAAATAAACTTGGATAATGGACATTCCAGGGCACACAGCAGAGGGACACAATCAAACAGCCAGTACAGTTACTACGAGTTCACCAGAGAAGCTCAGAACAAATGAAATATCTTCAAAAAGTAGATCTGACATAGACGAGAAGTCATCAGAAAGATTAAAGCACAGGTATACTGGTGTGGTACAGGGCAGGATAGGCACTGGACTGTGTATTTATAGTCTGATTAATGTATGAATTAAACTGTGTACAAAATAAACTACACAACATGAAATGCTTTTAGGAAATATGAATCAGAGCCTGGAAACATTTACTCATGTAAGCCACGAGTTACTCACAAGTAGAAACCAGTCACACTAGTAAGGATTTAGGCAGTCTGACCATTTCTACTGGAACATGGACAGTAATAACAGCGATTATTAATTTTAAAATTATTCTCATTGTAATGAAAGAAATTTAACTCTGAACTTGTCCATGGCACCTGCTGATTCTTTAGATCATTTTTAAATTCAAGAACACAAGTTCCCTCAGACTCCTCCTTTGATGACATGGGTTAGTAGTCCAACTTCTTTTTCAAGTGACGCTGCCTTTCCTTTGACTTTAACGAGCATCATTATACTGCCTTGGTACAACTGAATAATGCACAGGCCTAATGGTTGTCCTGTGGCAATAAATTTTCTGATTTAATTTGGCATGGACATGCCCTCTTATCCTGTAACAGACATTTCTTCATTATTTAAAGTGATAATACCTGTACTTCTAATGATATTTGCTCTACTTGGAGAATACAGAATTAATTTATTCAGGAAGGTGAGCTGGCATTGACAGAGGCTCCAAGAAACTCCAGACGGGAGAGAAAAATATTCATAGAAGTACGATTTTGGAAAACACAGTTGATGTGCGCTACGTGCAGTTTGCACAGGACTACAAATAAGACAGCCCACGAACAAGGTTCAGGTGCTTCTGCAGTGATAAAATTAAAGCTGGTTAGTGAAGATGCTCTGGGCACTCATGAGACTGAAAAGGCATTAGATGCAATGGCAACGTCCTCTCCATCTTGCTAACTTGGTCTTCCATTGATTCTAATTTTAGCATTTTGTTCTTTTAAGACATCTTGTCTAGAATTGTGCTTCGCAAAACTTAACAGAAAATTAATACAGTTTTGGGATCTGTGTGTGTGTTATATAAATATCCAATTAAAAATAACGCTGGGCTTCTGCTACTTCAAGTGAAAAAAAAAATCCATCCTGAGAAAGTATGCAAGAGTGCCAGGGATGCAGAGCTGTTTTCCCCTTTAGCTATTAAGTTGTTTAACTAAGTGCCTGGAATACCCTAACTGCATTCTCTATGACTGCAAGAAGAACTGAACTTAGATATTTTAGCTGATAGCTTTACTGAGATATTCATATTTTACTGTGCTGACCTCTGAGGTCTGACATCGTAGGTTTATTTAGAACGTACTAGATGTCCCAAAAGGCTGTAATTCATTTCAGGATTGGCTCTTATGCCTAATATCTGTGTTGGTGTTTGTACAGAGTGTTTTAGTTCTTTCTGATTTTACCCTCTCTTCTACTCCCACTCCCCATACTTTGTCAAGTTACTTTAAAAACTTACAGCTCATTATGAAAAATGAAAAGTTGTAATGCACAGGATCAGGAAAATCCCCACTATGCTACAATAGCTACAGATCTGATCATTTTGGTGAGACCTACAAATGCCAATTTATTATTAATCTGGCAATGATGGTCGAAACTGAAGAGGTGCAGCTAGTAAACTAGTGCAGTTTTCATTGGTACCAATGGAAGCTGAGTTTGTACAACGGAAGGCTAAATTGGAGCAGTTTCATACATTTTTCTGTTAACTGAAGAAAACCAAAGAATTATCACAGCATGTTGTACAGGGGTGTGTGTTCATTTTGGTTATAACACAGGATCTAAAGCACTAAGTAAACACTACCTCAAATAATGTTCCCCAAAATGTTCAAGGATTATTTTCCCATTTTGCTACCAGTCATCGAGAGAAAAAAACTTAAAAAACATGTAAGTCTAGTAGGATTATATATAGTTAAGACAAGTATGTCTTTCTTGAAGTAGAAAGCTGACAGTTGATTTTTCATTACTCTCACTGCAGCGAAGTGCACCCATGAACTCCTCTAGCGTGTAAGAGCGGCCAGTTTGAGAACTGCAGGTGATAACTTGCTCTCGTCTGTTTTATGAAAAAGCCGCAAGTTAAATTTTTGAGTTAAAATGCTGCGTCTCTCTGACACAAGAATACAGGGGAAAATCTGTTGGGAATACCAGTGAAAAGTACAGGGAAAAATACTGGAGAAATATTCTTAAAAAAACCTTGTCCTTCAGTCTCTTGAACAATTGTTTTGTTTTAGTATGGAGGGAAAGCCTAGAGTAAATTAGCTGTTTTCTTGTTTCATGTGCTCTAATATGAAAAAAAATTATAGACTTAAATCATACGTAGAAGCATTCTCTTCTCCCTCAAAGGGCTTGCTCCAAGGGTTTGTCTTCATTAGCTGTAGAGAACGGTGACATATTTTTGCATTCCTGTGGACTGCAGCAAATTGTCCCTCTTGGCTGTCATTGTTTCCTACGGAAGCAACAATGGCTTCCATTTATCACAAGCTGACACCACATGGCATGCAAAATTACGTTTCACACTGCAGCATCCAAAGAGACGGTGTAAATAAAAACCATTTACGTAAAACACCTAGCAACCAGCAAAAAAATAAGAGTATAGCTGGTTTGATAAATAAAGTACCTTTTCATGAATCACAGTGACTGCTACTTCTAACCAGCAGCTCCGAAAGTGTTAACTAATTTAAAAACCATCTTACGGAATGTATAGAAAGAATCCAGAGGCTGGTGCTCCGGGGAAGGCAGTGAAATTTCACCATCAAAAAAAGGTTCTGATAAACACACAGTTTTCTAGAGACATCAAAGCATGGTGCAGCTGTTAGTACATCAAAGTAGTATTGTGTTCCCTCCAACAATTCACTGGTGTCAGCTTGTGTTTGGCGTTATTGATATTAGAATAAGCAAATGCACTGGTCTAACAGTGACTCTGGGCTCTTTTTGTTTCAGTTGCTGATGGTGGTATCAGCATCTGCATGTTTTTACATACAGTAGGTAACCACCCCCTCATCTATCGAAGGCCATTTCATTGTAGGATATAAAGGGCTCCTCCCCAGCAGGGCAGCCAACATCCACTTCAGTTGTCTGAGAAATGCCTGAACTTTTGTGTCCTCTCACAGGAATTCTGGGGTATGCCTTGGCTATTTCTCTGACGTCTGGTTTTGATAAGTGATTTTCAGAGCCTACTGTCTCCTAGGAATTCTGCAGGAAGAGACTGGGTGAGGTCATTCGGCTTTTCACTGAGTTTCCTTTCTCTGGTTTTGGCCGTTCTAGTGAACATGACCCTCTAGCACTCGGGAATATTTCTGTTCCCTTAGGAACTATCGACCACTTGCTGGTTTTATCTCTGCACACACAAAAGCTCCATGTCGCCGGACGGGGAAACAAGGTTGACATTAACCAGGGGAACATAAGCAGCTCGTAGATGCAGCTGTGAGCTGAGTTCATTTATTAGCTCAAGTGCTGGCAAAGCTTACACTTGTTTCTCGGCCTCTCTACTGGCCATTAGCCTGGGTCCGAATAGCTGAAGGCAATGGAATAATAGCTGGTTTGTCAGCCCATTTTATTCATGAAATGGGGCACGGCAGGAATACTTGGAAAGAAGCAACAAGTAAAAGAAAATGCATCTTATTTTCTCTGCTTCACAACCACTCTGCCTCAGAGAGTGTGTGACTTGCATACGGTTCTTCTGTATGAGACTATTCATATCAGATTTCATTTCTTACTACATGGGTTGCTATGGATACGATTCTGAACTGCTGCTTTTGTAGGCCAGGAGATTTATGACTGCATCCCAAATGATTTTGCTCATCGGGGTCACACAAGATTTTTTTTTTTAAATAAACAGAAGTGGAAAGAAACATACCCTGTGTTTCTCAAAATATTTTTTACAACCAAATCCTGTATTTTGGATCTTTTTGAAGTCTATCAGAGTCTGCGGATCAGTTCCCCATTTATACTAAGTTACTGATTTGTAAGAAACGCATAACCATACAAACACCTAAGAGCCAAGGCCTGGCAAAAGTTAAGGGTCTGTATCAAAACAGACCCTTGCACATTAGCCCTTGTTCTAATCTCACTCATTTCAGCTTTTTCACACACAAAGGCAGCTGGGTTCAGTGAAGTCACAGCATAAACAGACTCTTTAGAAATCCAAATCATGTGACTTATGATTAGGTTATTGTTTATCAGAACTACAGGAAGCCTGGGTGCTACAACACACACAAATACAAAATGGCGCATGTACAAGTAATACAAAAGAGCATGTCATTAATCTTAACTGCTAGCAATTCTAAATCATCTGACAACAAATATTCATATCAAACAGACAGTCGGAAGTGCTGGGATAAACATACTCCTCCGCCTTCCTGGATGCTATTAATCATACAGGATGCACATTGTCTTACCGTTCCTCGGACGGGTTCATTAGCAGAGCCTCTGGCATTGTACCGATGGCTAAAGGAGGTCTGTTCCTGTAAAATCTCTAGAAGATCTTCAGATGGTCTAGGAGTTGCAACTGGAACTGAAAAATAGAATACTGTTAGGGAGCACTCGTACTACGTGATCCAAGGTAGCCCACACAAACACGCTCCGTGCTGCACAAGAGATAAGTGATAGCTGCTTCTCTTGAACTGCTCAAGTTACCTTGCCAGACAAATGAAACCACAACATTTGCACAAGGGGAAGTGGGCACTAGGAGCTGGACACTCAGCTGTGCTTGCACGCGTCACGGCGACGCAAGGTTTTGTTGAGCTCAGGACAACGTTGCTGAAGTGGCTTCAGAGCAGTGGCTTTGCTGGGGTCAGGATGAAGGCCAGACAGATTTTGGAAAAGCATTTCAGTGTGACCACTTCTAAAGTGCAGGACAGAAAAGGCCTGTCAGGTCACTTGGCAGGTGCTTGAATGTTTCTTATGGTATCTTTCTCCCTGATTTCCCATGGACATTTTACCTCTTCACATTACTCATCCCCTCTGCAGGACAGTTTAGAAACTGCACCATCAACGATGCAGTACCAGTTGCCACTACATCTTTATCAGCAGTCTTCCAGGCAATTTTGCACCCATTAACACAACAGTATTGCCCTCTAAATGAACATGAATGATTTTCACCGTTAATATTTAATGAAACACAGACTGACCCATTACACTGGACCGTGACGCATCCAGGCACAAGAGAAAGAAAATAAATGTCAAGCACAATTTAAATACTCTGTATCGAATTCTCCAAAATGACCAGCAATTTTGAATTTTCAGCTTGCGATGTGGCATAAGACCAGATCCACTGGTGGACAAGTGCGCAAAGCTTTCTGCAAAGCAGGGCTGCTTAAAGCGTTTCAAGTGGGTCAGGCTGTCTCACTAATCACTGACGAAATGTAGGCTACTGCACTTCCATTTGCACAGTGGTAGCACAGCTAAGTTGTTAGAGTCATTAGGACACAAAACCCTCAAATAAACCCCAAATGAGGGAGCAGAGCTGGAATAGAGTAAATTTACAGTTGGCATCCCCATGATACAACTAGCAGCACATGAATAGATGCTGACTTATTGCGATGCTGTTGCTGGACCAAGACCTGTATCTGCCGAAAGATCCTAGTCTTGTTGAAAAATATAGACGACAATAATGATATTCCATTAATATGTTGAGAGGTGTCTGTAACTAGATAATTATTAACTTCAAAACAGCACATTTTCTCAAAAAAAAAAACGAACAAAAAACACAGAAAAGAATTGTAATTGGCCTACATCAAGCTCTCTGCTGCGACAGCCAGACTGCTCCTAGTAACTGAACCGACTAATTTAAGGACATTTATTTTGGTAACATGCACCATCATACAGAAATAGTGGTCCATGGGCCCCATATAGCTGCAAACGGCAGATCAGGTATGTAAGTCTAAGTCCGATAACCTAAAGTCCTTTGTTAGCGTACTAGCAGCGGAAACAAGATATGCCACTGAGAAGACAGGGAAACAGAGGTCAACAGCACAAGTTCCTCAAGGTCAAAATAACCAACAGCCCGCACCTAAGCGCTTGGCTGCCAGGCACAGCAGGCTAAGGGGGAACGCCTGTGAAACCCACTACGTGAAATCAATCTCCCAGTCTTTTCGCAAACCGGTCGCCTCAATGAGGTTGTAATTAACACGGAGCAGCTTGCCAGATTAGCGTATGGCTAGTATTGAGAAATATACTGAAGACCGTTAATTTGCTGGAAGTAGGTAATTAGTACTAACTAGTGATTCTGAAGACAGAGCAGATCTACATTCAAGTATAGCGCTAGCAGTTTTGGGCCACGCATCTTCTACTCAGCAATTCTAGAGCAATGCTGGGCAACGATAATAAAAGCTCACACCTTGGTCTCACTAGCTACAGAAGGGGAACAGCAATACCTACTTACAGCCTAGAAGTGCCAATAGAATTGTTGAAGTTCCTACAAAAGCGCATGCATATATGGATTTATAGCTGGTCATGGAGCCCTACAAGCTTGAAGCGTGCCTGGAGCTAGGCGATACACATTTAGAATTAATACTCCTTTATTTGTACAGAGAAGGAAGTGTTTATTTTGGTAGAACTATAAATTGCCTATCTGATACCTGATGACAGTGTTTAATAACTGCATCTAGATACGCAACTGAGGAAGACCCTATAAGTGAAAAATAAGGTTAGATGGAAATTCTAGTTCCCAATTTTCATATTGGAATACAGAGGCAAGAAAGACATTCATATCAACCATGGTAGTAGCTGTATGTACAACACTGCTATCAGACTCTTTCTGCTGCATGGAAAATACCATTCTTTAAAGACAAGGTAGAATCTGAATTGCTCAAAACCACATGTGAATAATGCCGTTGTTGAAATTTTGAGTGTGCATGTGGTTCACATAAAAGTAGTAAGGATTGTTTCCTCAGTATCTGAACACCTGCACAGAAGATCAGAACTATTTTCTTAATAAATTACTCACAAAGTAAGTTTTGTTAGCTTTTGAATACATTATCTTTCCTGAGACATTTCAGCACATTAGTTTTGCAAATTAATCTTCTGTAAAAAGACATGAGTTCATTTCTCTCAGTGGCATTTTAGGCATCAGAAATCTATTCATAATATATTATGTAAATATTCCAGTAGAGAGCCTTAATAAGTCGATATTTCCAATAAATAACTAAAAAACCCATGCGCATGACTGAAAAGAAGAAAAACAAATTTGGCGCTCTGCTTTCCTTTCACAACACTGTCAGTCATCTTAGGCAGAAACAAGAATCCTTGTCTTTCAGCACTCTGACATTTCACACCATGTGCGTACAAGTCTTGCATGATGAGGATCGCAAGGGTGGTCAATACGCATCCCCAAGACACTCCAGCGACATCCCTGCAAACACTTCCAGAGTTAAAATGCTAATCTAGTCACTTCCCTAAATTTAATGTGTGTGTTGGAGAGCGATTTGATATGTTCATTATTCTCAGCTAGAGGAATTAGCATTGCTGCAGTGATTTGAATGATTCTGCCCACTGTGTCTCACAGTTGCAAAGGGTTTTTGGCTGTAGAATTAAAAGCTTGACAGTTGCTCACAATTTAGGGAGTGAAAGAATGCATTTTTTAGAACTCCATACTGAGATTATCCAAAAGGACTGGCCTGGCTGTGACACAGAAACAAGCCTGCGTCTCCCTAACAGCCTGCCTGTGTGTTTTTCAAACGGGGTCACACAATACATGCGCAACATCCACTGCAGGTTTTGTACTGCTGGCGCCGATGCTTCTGGAAGGATGCAGTGATCCTTCATTGGCTGGATCCTAATAAGCTGGGGCAGGGTCTGGAGCACAAGTCTTACGAGGAGCGGCTGAGGGAGCTGGGGTTGTTTAGTTTGGAGAAGAGGAGGCTGAGGGGAGCCCTCATCGCTCTCTACAGCTACCTGACAGGAGGCTGGAGCCAGTTGGGGTCGGTCTCTTTTCCCGAGTAACAAGCGATAGGACAAGAGGAAACGGCCTCAAGCTGCGCCGGCGAGGTTTAGGTTGGATATTAGGAAAAATTTCTTCAGTGAAAGAGTTGTCAAGCATTGGACCAGGCTGCCCAGGGAGGTGGTTGAGTCCCCATCCCTGGAGGGATTTAAAAGCTGGGTAGAGGTAGTGCTTAGGGACATGGTTTAGTGGTGGGCTTGGCAGTGCTAGGTTAACAGTTGGACTTGGTCATCTTAAAGGTCTTTTCCAACCTACACAATTCTATGATTCTGTGATCAAGCAGCTTTGCTCCAGTGTTGGTGGTTCAGGGAACCGTAGATAGCTGGAGAACTTGCAGAATATTTTAAAGTGGTGGCTTCTTCATATGTTAAAAATACCCCCCCTTCCAGCAGCCTTTAGCTTACCACCTCCCTGGGGTGCTTGATGCAGCAGAAGTCAGCAGGGCCTTGACATGGAGGAATCTCACCACTGAAGTTTGAAAATTATATTAATCTGTTTGTGCAGCAATATGCAACTAGTTTGATACTTTACGAACAAGAAACCCCACAAAACAGATGGGTTTGGTAGGTGCAGGGCATCTAAAAATCTGTGCAAAGAGCCTGCATTCCAGCTGCACAACTTCACAAAACTAGATCGAGCTGTTAAAATACCTTTAAGGAGTTGGGTTAAGAAGAGGGGGAATCCTTATAAGCCTCAGCAGGCAATAGCCCATGCAGCCAAGTTAGCACATAAACCAGCACCAGCTATTGTTTTATTGGATTCCTTTGGCGGGGGGGACGCTGAGCAGGAAGGAATTTTTATGCATATATGCATACACAAAAGGACTATTTTTTCATCTATGTAAAGTCAAAACATACTGGAACCATAAATTACATCCTGGATAAGTGTTCAGAGTTTATATCCTTTTAAGGAATACGGCCTAAAGTTAGCACCCCACTTCCAAGGTATAATCTTCCATCCCTGTTAGATGCTGCTGCCTGATCGCAGCCAGACAACTGGCTCAACACCAAGATCGCAAATGTGCCAACATATGGAAACAATTGCTTTCCTTTTGATTGGAAACGACATATTCTGGATGTGTGCACAACATCCCCCATCAATCATCCAAAATGGTTCATTATTTGGACTTAAACTTATTATCCAATAGAAGATCCCTAGAGCCTTGCGTGAAGGGTAGGAAAGATATTTACACACCCCAGAAAGCAAAAGAGCCTCTGCATGGTGATAGCTTGTCTGAGCCACGCTGCGTCCTGACGGAGCTGGATTCCTTCTCTGTACAAGGTTGTGTTTCAGGCACCAGCATTGATGTTGCTCAACTTCATACAAAAGCAGCTAAATCTTGAAATTATACCTGCACAGGAAGGTTGTGCCGGCTGCTGATCACCCCTGGGACTCCAGAAAATCTCCACACATTGGCAGTCTCAGCAAGAGAAGTGAGGGGAAAGGTTTAATAGTGAATATTTGACCATAGATTACATGCTTTGACACCAGTAACAGCCTATCTGTCGCAATTAAGTTGCAATGGCAGAAGGCCTGCAACACAAGGAAAAAATCAAGAGGATTTTTGTTGAACC